AAATCTCCTCAGACAATGGGCCATGGGCACAGAAGGGCACTTTTTCCCCACTTTTTCCCCATCTTCCAAGGCTTGACGCTGCCTCAACCCAGAGTCCTGTGTACGGCCCTTGAAGGCCATAGCCAACAGCCACGACACGAAGACGTTTCTAGCAACTTAAAGCGGAGGGATGTGATTCGGTCATGGCCCGCCTCTGGCCCGAACACTGGAAGCCACCGATCGCTCACCCTCGTTGCAAACTTCGGAATCTCAGTGTCGGATCTAAAGCACCTCTTCTTGTGCGCGGTTGAAGGCATGTGTTATGGGGTCTGGTCACAGACACCTGGGGAGTTTGGGCCTCGAGGTTTGAAGGAGCCGAAAAAAGGTCCAAGCTTGCCTGTTCAGCGGAAACTAGCCCTTCCGAAGAAAGCCAAACACTCCTAGACTCCTAGGGCCTAGGGCAAATCAAGCCAAGTGCGCTCCGCCGTTCCCAGGTGCTTCACCTCTCGACACCATTCTGCATAGGCGCCCTTGTCCACCTTCCGCTTCTTGGAAGGTCTCCCGGGCAGATCGCCGCCGGGTGAAGCGACCTCCGTGGGACTGCTCGGGGCCTCGGCCTGCAGAAGATCCGCCTTCCGCGTGGTTCGGCTTGCGCGGCCCTTCTCGGAGTAGGCTGGGGCATCCTTCAAGATGGCACAGAGGCCCCACTGGCTGACCACCGGGCCCCTCGGCGGATCTCGAGTCCCACACAAGCAAAATGCAGTTAAACAAGTTAAAAAGAAGGGGGCGTGACTGTAAAGGCCAAAGTGCAGGTCGTGCCAATCCCCGATCAGGTAGCTGCGACCTCCCATGTTTGCCACCACCTTGGCAACCGCCTCGCCGACAGCACCCACGTCTGCAGGGACAAAAAGCACCTGGATGTCTGGTGCCTTGTTCTTCAATACATCTTTCTTTCCATAGGCAGCTCCGGCCAAGGGCACAGAAGGGAAGACCGGCCTGCTTTCCCCCGCAAGTTGCTGGAACCAATCCCAGTCCTTCAGCAGCATTCCATCCACTTCCGCCACGTCCTTCACGAGCCGGTGCGTGGGCTTCTCCGCGGGAACGTTCACGAGTACCATCGCCGGCACTTTGGGGCGCTGTGCAGGAAGAGGTGGTGCCCGCTGGGGCCCAGTGGGCGCTGGCGGTGTCGATGCCGGCGTCGGTGCCTGCGCCTTGGCTGGGGGAGGCGGGCCGGAGGCTTTGCTGCGTACTCCCTCCATGGGCAATGCAGGCGTCATGAGCCCGGGTGTCTGTCCCGAAGGCGTCATCTGCCCAGGCGTCATCTGCCCAGGCATCATCTGCCCAGGGGTCATCTGCCCCATGTGAGACATCTGCATCATGGGTGGAGTCAGCTGACCAGGAATCTGCACAGGCAAGGCCTGGCCCTGCATCCAATTTCCCAGGACAGGGTTCATCATCATGAGCATGCTGGGATCCATGCCCGGCGGCCAGGCCGTGCCCATCGGCAGAGACTTCATGGCTGGATTCGGACTTAGCCTTCTCAACGAAGCCTTCGTAGCGCTATCTGTGCGGTCTAGGTCTAGCTGCTGCCATTGACACTAACTTGGCGACTCTTGTTTCACATTCGTAAACAGCCAGAAAGGCTTGCGTCGATGCTGTGGTTTGGGTTGCCACATGCCACATCATGCCGCATGTGACTCAGCAGAGCAAAAGGTCGCAAGACTCTGTCCTGCAGCTTTGCGTATGCACTCATCGCAATCTTTGGTGGCAAATATGGTCACACCACTGTCCAACCTCACCTCGTGCATGCACTGAGGCGTGGGGTAGATTGAACACGTCGTCGTGCAGCTGCCTGGTAGGGTACCGTTCTCTCGTCTGGCCAGCCGGGGTCGTGGTAGTTGAGTTTCACCACTGTCCCAGTCTGAAAGCCATCAATGTTGCACCTGCAGCAAAGTAAAGGTTGCTTTCTTGAAATACTGTTGTACAATGAGGCTAGCTGGATAGGCTGTTGCGGACAGATGCAGGCGGGGGTAGATGCGTTCTCTGCGTTGCAACAAGGCGGGGCAAGCCTATGCACTATGCCTGATCCTATGCATTATGCTTCTTTCCGTTACCTTTGCATATTTTCATTGCTGCATTCGGGATCCTCCTGGAGAATGCAGTCGTGCGGTCACGGCACTCGACGCGGTCCCCGACGCCGAAACGCAGCGTCTGTGCTTCCGGAGGCTGGGCCTCGTGAGCTGTGCAAGCCAGAAAAAAGGTCTTGCCCGCGCCAGCGCAGTTGTGGATGTAGGGATTTATGGATGGATTGATGCGTGGATGCACGCAAGCTGGATGGATGGATGGATGGATGGATGGATGGACGGATGGTGGGAGGCACGCTTCTCGCATGAATACGCGATGTCTCATGTGCGTCACACAGACTTGCTGGTTGATCGATCCGCGGCTTGAGGCTCGCCAAACTGCAAATGTCGAACGTCACGTCCTGTCATTGATTGTTGCATAAGCATGGCTGCACTGCTCACGGAACAGGCTGCCTCTGCTACGTCATGTCTATGCTGTCAAGAGTGTTTGTGAAAGTGCAACGAAAAGAAGCGACTCCCCGTGCCCATGCACGAGGACAGCGCACGCACACACAGACACACACACACACACACACACTGCGCGCACGCGCGCAAACACGTGAAGGCCGATTTTCACAGCATCTTAGTGCAGTTGTCTGACCATGTGGATTTCGCACCCGGGAGGCCGGCTTGCAGCGGAACTCTTTGCCGGCGCTGCTGCCTCCAACAAGAAGCTGTCAAGAGCTGCAATTCTCGCCTGACGCTCGGGCTTGCAATCAACTTCCGCCTTCGGCCCTCGACGCAACCAGCACAGACGCTTCCCTCACTGCATGAAAAGCAATACGTATGTCCGCAAGCGTGTGCAGGCGACCGCAGGCGGCACCCAATCCGAGCCCCAGGCGGCAAGGGCAATGGAGCCGTGCTGGCCAACATGTTGCACGTCTGAAACTAACAAGGCATCGAGTCGTGCATCATGGCCCTTCTCGTCAGATGCGCTTGATCTGAATTCAGCATGAAGACAAGAAGGGACTCTCGCTCTGCCATGCAGTATAGATACAATATATCCATTGCATGTATGCGTGTGGGAGACAATATGCGTTTCTGCGTGAGTGCCTGCTCGTGCCCGTGCGTGTGCTGCGTGTGCGGGATGGATGGATGGATGGATGGATGGATGGTCAAAAATACAATTAAGATGCTCAAATTGTACATTCGCAGACATGTGTATGTTGTTTCGTGTACGTGGTGGCTGTGACTGACATCACACACACACACACAGACACTCAGACACACGAACATCCTGCGACACCAGAAACATGTAAGAAGGCACAGCGGAACGTAAGTCGGCCTCAGCAGTTAAACCCGAAAACACATCAAAGAGTCTCGCCGTTACGGGATTGCCTGGCCTTGGTCTCTCTCCTTCGCCTGGTGGTGGCCGGCACTGCCCGGGCCAAGCCGCGGCAGGGCTCTGCAAGGCCCGGAGCCCCAAAACCGCATGCATCCTGAAGCGAAGCACACACAGCGACTATGCAGAGAAAGTCCAAGATGCAGACCTCTGCAGGGATCAGTGTCTGGCCTTGATCTGGAAGGGAGGCGCCGTCACAGCCATCGCAGATGCAGTCGCAGCTCTGGATGTCATATCTGTCTTAGTCTTGCATTTGCATGTCTGTGCAGCCGGCTTTCAGTGTAGTTCAGTCTACTGGTACGGTCTGCGTCCTCGTGTCCACGCAAGGGGAGAGCCGCATCGCGACGCTTCCACAGATGCGGTTGGCGCAAGCGTTGAAAACACGCCAGGGTGACCGAGGAGAGCCGCGCTGAACCTGGTAAGGAAGCACGGCGCAGAACCCTGAGTTCTGAGTTCTGCTCTGTAGCTGAGGGCTCCCACGAGATCGCCCCCACCAAACTGTGGCGAGCCGCCTTTCACCCATCACTGGCAGACTAGCGCTGAGCGCTCAGATAAATAAACCTTCTAAACCTTCCTTCCTGTGTCCCGCTGTGTCCCTGTGTGTCCAGACGTACGCGATCCCCCGCTCCCGGCACCTCGGAGTCGCGGAGCCGAGGCGCAGGCGGCGCAGGCGGCGCAGGCGGCGCAGGCGAAGCCGAAGCCGCTGTCCTGCAACGGCTGCGATCCCTACACGCCCCACGCCCCGCTACGTCTGCCTGCGCGTCTGGACGGGAGATGCGGCGAAGGGCTCCATGGCGAAGGAGACATGAAAACGCCAGAAATGATCAGAATCAGAGGGTCAAGCCTCAGCTGTGTAGATGCTTCCGTGAATGGGTGGGCAGCGATCTCGGAACTTCGGAGTCAAGCCACTCCGAAACGCTGTTGGAGGGGATAAAGCAGGGGTTGCTTTCTCTCTCTACCTCTGTTATGCTGATTACCCACGAAGTTTCCGTGCGGGGTTGGAGTATCCAAGTTGTTGTTCGCATCTGTGGGCCCTCACCCTCGCTTCCAGATCAATGCTTCGTCTGCTTGACTTCGCTTGACCGGCCGGTGCAACCTCACAGCAACATCCCCTGGTCCAGACGTGAAACAATGAGAGGGCAACTTCGAAATTGGATTAGTTCTCCATGGAGTCTCGTCAATGCGCTCTGATCTGTACAGCTGAGCACACGCCCCAAAAGGGCGGCCGGCAAAACTTTCGGGCACCACGCTCCGAAGGAAAATCGCCTTGTCGGGGTGCCGTCGTGACAGTCACCGTAGCAGACTACAAAAGAGCATGAGAAATGGTTCAATATGCTATCGGCTATATCTAGTATAATTCAAAAGAACAGCGATGGCCATGATGTGGCCGAAGACAGGCGATGGCTCCTCGGGAGAGCGTTCAAACCTTCGTCCCAAGCTCAAAAGGCACATTGAAATAGGTTCCCTATCCTTGTTTAAACAGTAGACGAGGCCCCCCCTGGGCCTCGGAGGTCTTCGATCTTTTATCGAAGCCCTTTGAGACTGCAAGGCTTTTGTTGCGTGTCTCAGCTTCAGAGCACCCCCTTCGCTCGGCCAACTTCGACGAAAGCATCGATGCAGCGCTGCACCTGCTCCGGCCTCGGCGGCGCAACTCCAGCGCAGCTCAGCCCCGCGGCCCCGCGGCCCCGCGGCGGGTGGGATGGGGCCCGTTTGGGACTGGGGGTCTGGCGTGTGGGCCGCACTCATCTGCACCCGGATGCGCGCAGCACCCTTTGGCACCACCGGGTAGCTAAAGCCGATGACCTTCGAAGACCACTCAGCTTAGGGCTGGTGCCCTGCGAAAGCAAGTGTCACCGAGGGCTGAGCATAGATGCCTCTCTTCAGCATCTCATCCGCCATTTCCGAGGCGAGCCGGGCATCCCCCAGCATGACAGGCACGATGGGGCAACTCCTCCAGTGGGTGTGCCTACTACTTGCAGGCTGCATGCAAGAAAGGTTTCGACGCGGGCGGCTAGGCTCGGGGCTCATGGCCGCTCAGTTTGAATCCAGCGGCTCGCATCGACGAGCGAAACTGCTTGACATTGGCCTTGTGGCGATCTTCAAGGAAATCAAGTGAGACAAGATGAGACAAGCTCACATTGTGAATTATTGAAGGCCTCAAAACATAATCAAGAACCCTGGCAAGCATGCCGTGACGCCTTCGCATGCAAGCTTGCGGAGGGGAGTGACCCTAGTCTTCATGATCAGGGAGCTGATTTCCAATCCAGTCCTAGAAATTCCTGGGCCCCTTTACCGGGGTTAGGGGTATTTCGAGCTCTAGAGGATCCCGGAGATTAAGGGTGTGTTCGTGAAGTTTTGCAGCCAATGCCTCCCCGTGCGTGTGCCACGTCTGTTGGAGTTTCGCCTAGAGTTTGTGGAGCTGTAGGGCTGTGGGCCTTTGCATTTTAGTTCAGGAGGCCCCTCTTCTCGGGTTTTTGAGGTTGCTTATCATATAGGTCACCCTGAGAAGGATAATGCCCTGAAGCAGGAACTGCAACTAGCTGCCGCTCTAGGTCTCATGGCCCTGACTGACCTTAAAGCCCAAGGTAGCCCCCAGTGTATGGAACAGATGCTTCAGGGGGCAGGAATAGTGGCTCGTTACATCGCAGAGCAGACATACGCGGCTTTTACACTCATTTGCTGTCTTCGGTAGGGGCGTATCTCCACAGTGTGGGTTTAGAGGTCCAGGAACCGGAGTTCTTGTTGCAAGCGGTTCGTAGGCCTGTCAAAAAAGGGAAGCGTTTGGGTGCAACAAGCTCCCGAACTCAACAAATCTATCCAACAGCAGGGGTCCCCAAGGCGGCGTCACTCCGAAGAGGCTAGACGGCTAGAGTAGCTCCCTCTTCCAGCGTTCCTTATGGGGGTGGAAGAGGAAGAGGCAAGTCGCCCTTGAAACCGGCGAAGCCCTCGCGTCGTCTGAGAGTCTGAGGATTTACCCACGAAACCTTTGCCCTCCCATTGCAGCTCGCGGCCTCGAGTCGGCCACGCAGCTCTTTGCTGTTCGACTCGTCGGAGAGCATCTTGAAGACCTTTCCAAGGGAGAAGTCCGACCCTTTGGCTCCCGCCCAGGAGATTAGCGCCTCTAGTTGCCGCTTTGAGTCGGAAGGCCCTACATGGTCCTACATGTCTATGTCTATACTCTACAGAAGATATAGGTCATGAGGAAATCCGAGCAGGCCGCCATGCCGCCATGACCCATAACCCTCACAGCGCTGAGCCTGCAGTGATGCTCCGGCCACCTTGGCGGGGATCGAAAAGCTTGCCCGTGGCCAAACGCCCAAAGGCATCTGAAGACCAAGGACACGTTGCGATGGCAACAAGGTCGCGGCCGAGGGAGCCAGCGTGTTGGAGAAGAGATACGGCCTGCGCTGATGCATGCGGATGCCATCTGTTTTGGTGTTTTGGAGAGGTTTCCGAGACGTGGTTTCCAGCCTGGCTCTGTTGCGCAGGAGGTCGATCAAGGCCTGAGGCGATGCGGTGCCGCTGAGGAGTCCCTCAACGAGGGCCTCTGGTTCCTCTCTCCTCTCTCCTCTCTCGCTCTCAAGCCTTCGGTCCCGTCGTGTAGCCGCCCGTGGCGCCGCCCAATGCTTTTCCGAGTGTGCTGTTGATGATGTCCACGCGATCTCACAGCGGGAAAGGCTAAGGTGGCTGAGAGAAGGGGAGAAAAGTCAGGGAGCTCGTTCCACATGAGTCCCTGGCCGGCCACTCCGCACAGCTCCGGCGTGCCCCGCCCCGAGCTGCCTGGGCTCCCGCACCACGCATGGCCACATGGTCATTCCACTACGATTTCGAGGCTTTGGCCCAGGAAGCCTGTGGCGTGGCACTCGTCCACGAAGACCTGGGCCTCGTACTTGTCTGCGAGGTCGCAGATCTCGCCTGAGCTTTCTTCCTTTATCGAATCCTCCGCTTCGGCCTCATGAACTCCACATTCCCGGAGGGTGCCGGGGCTTGTGCGCAAAGGGGCGATGTCCCCGTCCATCGAGAAGACCTTGCACTCCGTCCCAACCCACAAACAACAATAAGTTCCAACACAAACTGCTTTCACTGGGGTTTGATCAAGCATCTGCCGAAGGCCCAACACTACGATCATGCACATGCGACTGGATTGAGGCTGCATGCCCCTGGAACTCTGCAACAATGAGGCGACAGCTACAGCAAACAGCACTTTCACCCGAATCGGACGCATCGCTGCGATCTGCTGTCGGATGTGCAAGAAGACAGATCCAATACAGCATTCAGGAACATGGACAGGTAGGCGGGCAGCGCGAGAGGGCCCAGAGGTACCCGAAAAGCGCTGCGGCTGTGGCAACTTCATTTAGCAATAACAGGTGATGGGCTTGAGGCCAGCACCCCATCCGTAACGATCATCCGCTGCCGCGTGCCCTTCGCGACGCACTCCTTCAGGATCTCCTGTGCAGAAACCGTTCCGTTGTGTCTGCGATGCCTTGTGGGATTGTAGGCTTCGACCTCGAGATGCGCCATGTCCAAGTGATTGTACCTGAGCGGCAAGTGCCCGGTCCATCTCCGAAGCGACGGCCGCTCGGTGCAGATTTGGGGGCCCCGCCGATGTCGCTGGGCCTTGCAGAGCCGGATTCCATCGATGATGGAGGCATGGTTCAGCCTGGCAACCCAACGAGGCCAGGCTCAAGGCGCCCCGCCTTCTTCAGCTTCAGCCAGGGCTACGCATCCGAGATCACAGCATCCTCCGGGCCCAGGCAGGCCTCGCAGCAGCGCAGCACCGCAGCAGCGCAGCACATTCAAAATCCAGGTGTTCGGACTTTCGGGCTGCAAACTGCGCATTCCGCACACGCCTCGAAGAGCCCCGCGTTGGCATCGAAACAGGAGGGAAAGAGGATGGTGTCCTCCGTGCCGTGGAACTTGCTGATGGCCGCCTCAAGCTCCTTGTGTAAGTCCTGCACAAGCCAACGGCTCACAAGAGCTTCTGAAGCTCATTTGGAAACTGCACTCCGTCCTGCGTACCGCAGATGAAACGAACCGACGACAGCCCGAAGCCGTGCGAAGACATTGTACTCTGCGCCGCCTCCAGGGCCAAGGTGGATGATCTGCGAGCTTTCATCGGTAGGGTAGTTCAAGAGACCTCTGCTGACCTCTCCCGACCGATCCTGCACCAACGACGGATGGCTTGAAAGGCCAAGGTAGTTGTTGGCGCAGAAGTTGAGGACAGGTTCAGACCTGGCACATCGCACCGCCCCGCCTTGCCCCACTTTGCCTCGGACGTAGCCTCCTGCCACCTAGGGCCTAGCCTAGGGCCTCGGGCCCTGGCCCGCCGGCGACGTTCACGGCACCCGCCTGCGGTCCCTGGATCACCCGTTCCACCTGCTCCGAAACAAAAGGGATGCGATTCCGCTGCGCCCATGCGACGCCATGCCGGCGACATTCTGCCTTGTAGGTGCCCGCTTCTCGCATCGTCTGCAGCTCCTGATGGACCAAATTTGGCTCATGAATACCACGATGGACTCTTCGCTTCCCGAGCTCGGCCTCTTCCAGGCGCGACAGAAACCCGGCATTGCGACCTGCATCAGTGCACTACGCCGTACCAAGCATCTACATGCATCTTGAGGGGTCCGAGGTCTTAACCTAACGAAGCTCTATGAGCTGTGCCGCACAACCTCCAACTAATGCATGTGAGGAAGCAGGTACATTCAACAAAAAACACGACTTGGTGCGAAACGCTTCTTGTGTTCCTGGGAGGGGGTTGTATATATATGTATATACACACGCATACATACACACATATTATAATGTGTGTGTGTATATATATATATATATATATGGTCCCCCCCCGTTGACAGACCATGCCCTTTCAACTCAGTCGTCGTGCATGGTCTGTGATCGGGGGGAGGGGGCACTCAGCTTTCAAAAACTCAATTCCAAAATTTCCAAAATTATCTCCCCTAACTTTCCGGATTTCCAAAATTTCCAAAATTTCCAAAATTTCCCAAATTTCCAAAATATCCTAAATTTCCGAAATTTCCGGAATTTTCGAAATTTCCGAAATTTCCAAAATTTCCAAAATTTCCAAAATTTCCAAAAAGTCAGCCCTTATGTTTTGGAAAAATCCTGTCCATTAGGTCGGGCCGTTTTGGAAATTTTGAAAATTTCGGAAATTTTGGAAATTTTGGAATCTCTGGACCGTGGAACTGATTCTCAGGAGGGCTGATTGTGACCCATCCGATGACAGACCATGCACTACGACTTACTTGCAAAGGCAAGGGCTGTAAATACTCATGCCCATATTTAGACGAATATCTCTCTATCTATCTGTCTATCTATATATACATATATGTATTGATACTCCTACATATAGTATTGCCATTGCTAATACTGACATTGATCATTTGTTGAATGCTCAAGCTAATACCAGCATTACTACTAATATTACACTTCTATAAAGCTTAGTACGAATATGCATAACACAAATACTAATATGGATTAGTATTGCTATTAGTACTCCTACGCATATCAACATGGATAATATTGTATTTTAATACCAATACTATAATGTACAAAAACATGCATACCACTGTATTAAAATACAAATCCTGTAACTCACTCATGTATTCAACTGTTAGAATTTCACGTGATCAAGAGTAATAAGAATACAAACATTCTTGCGAATGTAGATCATCAATAATAGTACTAACGCTAACACTACTGCTAATACTTAACGCAAAATTTATACTAACATCAAAATTTACATAGCTATTGATACTCCTACGAATACGAATACGTAAACTCTTGTGCGTTAACAGTAGTGCTACCACCAACACTAATACAGACTTTGATAATCTGCTGAATATTCGATAATGCCACTAGTATTACCAGCATGAACACTCATATTATGGCTAATACGAGTATAAATAATCCTAGTGCTAATAATATTGACATTAATACTCCTACGAATACCAATAGTATATTCATATTGATATGAAAACTAATATCATTACTAATACACACCTGCACATACTAATGTACATAAAATACATAGCACTATCTTAAGATGCAGATATATACATCAGTGCATTCATGTAATAATGCTTTGGCAAAGGCATATACCCATATACCAATGTAACAATATACTTCTCGTTGTTGTATGAAGATACTATACGAATATGTGACTATACTCATATACGACTACTGCACTATGCAAGAACACCGACATGACAAGTTCGTATACTAATATGCCAACATACTGATACACTGAGACATGATGAGATAAAACAGTAATATAGTACACATACTCGTATACTAATATGCTAACGTACGAATATACTGGTATGTCAATATACTAGTAAGCTAATACAGCAATATAGTAGTGTATTCATGCACCAGTTGTACTAACATGTAACATATACTAGTATACAAGTATGCAAATATGTTACTGTTCGAATACATTGATGTATTGATATACTAAACTACTAATATACGAGACTCTCAATATACTAACATATCAAAACTAACTAGTTCTAATATTGATACTAGTACTAGCACTTCTGCGAATGTAAGCTGCTGTTAAACCCAGCATTAAGACTGATACTGATACTACTCTAGGGCTAACTCTAACACGAGCATGAGCACTAACACTAATTTATAGTTGGCAATATTGATATGTATACTTACAGCAAACAATATTACCAATATAGATAATAATACTCACCCTAATACCGATACTACCACAAGACTATTACGTAACTCATGCGCCGCACGTCTGGTGCTATACTATGTACCTCATGTAAAGGTTTTGCTTCATAGAATATCGTCGTGCACGGTGTTTTTTAGACCCGCGGTCTGTCAATGGGGGGGGTGAGCATATATATATATATATATATGCATACACACACACACACGTACTTCTTCTCCTTCCACGTAGTTCTTCGGAGGGGGGGGTTGGCATCTATATATATATATATGTGTATATACACACACTTAGACTCGTATTGACATTCACATTCACATACACATGCACGTACACAAACACATGCACATGTACATACACACATTCGATTTACCTACTTGTCGAGTATCCTGGGGAAGTAAAGGTTAAGTTAAGCTTGGGGGTTATACATATGCATATGCATATACATATACGTATACATAGAACATACTGCATACGCCTGGCCTGCTGCCGTCGTCACACACCGGGCGAGCCCAGAAATCGGCATCGACAACCTCCATGCCATGATCTCGGTTTGGGAAGCTTTCAGCTGATGGTGAATCTGTTGATATACTTCATTTCATGATATGGTTAGTATAGTAGGACGATGTGATTGGGTATACGATATACTATCTAGCCTTGTATGATACACTGCTGTGCACAGGGATGTTGCCGCCTCACCGCCCGTGCGGCATTCGCCATGGCAAAGGTCGACATCGCGATTCTCACTACGTCAGGAACGTGATGAGGGGGAGGCGGGTACAGGAAGGTGCTCCGATCCTTCAAGCGCTAGACTGTCTTAGTCTTGCTATATCTTGCCAGTGTGTTGGTACGCTCACATCCCAGGGTCATCAGGCATGATCCTGGAAGCTGCATTCTCTCTTATAGCCGGATAGTCCCAAAACCTCACGAGTCCTTGCAGGTTTCAAGCTGCGGAGAGTTGTGGACGTGGGGTCCTGTGCTTGCGCTCAGGATTCGTTTCACGTCACTTCCTGGGCGTCCCTTGGTGCTTGTTGAAAGAAAAAACAGTACTCAAAGCCTTGGCCCTCAACCCTACTGTGGCTGCCGACCGCTGGTACCGGCAACGCATGGTGCAAAATAGTGGGGCCGAGCGGCAATGGTACAAGGGAGGGCTGCAGACTGCAATGAGGCCTGTAGGCCTGTGGTTAGAAGTCCGTTCCAGGGGTGGCCGCGCAACCTCAATGCTATCACCCAGACCATGTAAGCCACAAGACTCCGCGTGCAGCACTGGGGTAGGATGGCCAGCACATGAATGCATTGGTTCCGCCACCTCCGATGGGTAGAGAGGTCATCTCTCATCTACTAGTACCTGCTTCGTCATGTGCCGCAGATCTGCTTCCTTGTCCGACAATGCTTATCTGAACTGTGTGGTCGCTACGTTCGACGTCGAGCTCTGAATGCGCACACCCCGATCCGAGTTCTTGCCTGTGCAGCGCATCTACAAGACAGGACTCCATGCAGCAAGTCGGTTTTTGTTACAAGCGCTCACTGCGTGAGACAGGCCGGATGGGGACATCTTTGGGGAGAGGGCATCTGCCGTTCGCCTTGCCTGCATGCGACGGCGACAGCTTAGGCAGAGCTCTAGGCGTCTTTGAAGCCGGCGAGTAGCCAAAAGTGAGCTCTCTTGGGTGTGTCTACATGGGGGGCTCTGCCTTTCGGGCTGTAGCGCGTGAACCGAAGCCTCACTTCTTCGCGAAGACGACTTGGTCAACCAGCTTCCGGCCCATGACCTCCAGGAAGCGTTTCTGGCTTCGTCGGACTTGAAGAAAGGGAAGGCTGAGCACTGCGAGCACTGCACCTGCCCGTGCTCGTTGACCGTGCCCGGCTTGAACCTCAAGGAAGGAACTGAGGAACTGAACACTCAAAAAGGCTCGCGTGCCCTGACGGCTTCCTTTCCAACTTTGCTTGCGTCGATGAACAGACACCGAACTTCTCATATTTCGAAAGCATTGAGCATGGAAGACAACTACAAAAGAAGTCTGCAAAAGTTGAGCCCAGCGACTTTGAGGCGGGGTGTGAGGCCAACTCTGGCGGTACCTGGCGCCCAAAGTCATCGTCTCTACAGATCATAGTTGGCCATTGTTCTGACGCATGCCAGCCCCACAACTTGATTTGAGCTCTTCAAGAAATTCGTGAGGTCATAGAAGATTTCGGAGTCCTGCAAGCACAAGAGGCACAAGACCCAGCACGGCGGCGACAGCCAAGTAGCCTCCGGTGTGACGAATGAGATCGCCAATCCTCAGTCAATGTCGATTCGGATTGGGATGACTTCCGAGCCGTCTTGGCTGGGGCCGCCTGCCTTTCAGACCTGCTCGGCCAGTTCGACCGATTCGGTGCGTGTAGTCCTGACGGCAGGAAGGCTGCGGCGAAGCGATTCATCAACGACTTCCCCTTGCCTCGATCGTCTTCGGCATGTCGAAGTTGATCACTCTCTGCACACCCTCGATGTCCAGGCCGCGCCCAGCCACGTCGGTGGCCACCAAAATGTCGTACCTAGCGCTGCTGCTGGCGAGCGGCTGGCCAGCTCCCTACCGTCCATGAATGCACCCGTAACCCTGGTGGCACCTGCCCTCCTTGAAGGAGTTCATGGCCCACTCTCGTTGCTCCTGCGGTCACTGAGCCACGCGGAACAAGATCCTTCCCAGGTTGATGGATGTGGTCTCCTGGCTCTTACCTCCATGGATGGAGCAAACTCTGTAGCCGTTGTTGTCCAAAGACCTAAGTACATCGCACTATGATCTGGAGACATTTGCCCTCTCCCTACGACTTGGCTTCTGGCTTGGACAACACATCCACGGCCTTCTTTTGGTTTACGAAGACCTGCAACACAGCTGGCAGGCTTCCAGCGGCACGCTTGCACCCTGCCGTTCGACTCCAACTGGGCGACCCTGCGATGATTGGCGGTTCTGCGCCGACAAGCATCTCCTCCAAACGCTTCTTCTTCTTGGCCTTACAGGGATTACGCAGCAATGCGCAGCATTAGCAGAGCTGCAGAGCAGAGCTTTGGAGGCCTCGCTGATGAACTCCAGCTGCTGCTCGATGTCCTTTGAAGCTTCAGCGAGAGCCGTGAGAGCTTCGAGCGAGGACCGCAGTGCGCCCGGCCTTCTTTGCTTGCCCGGGATCACCGACGTTGATGATAGCCGGACACCTGAAGTGTCCAAAGCCCTGGCAAAGAATCCTCTCACTGGCTTGCTCCTCAGCTCAGTGCCGCAGAAAGCTGCGGGCCATTCGCTCGATGGCGGGTGGCATCGTCGCACTGACAAGAGTGACAACATGTGAGAGACTCCGCAGACTTCCATTCCTACAGCGTCTAATCTCTGCCGATGGTGTCGGAGATGTGCCTGTACATCTGAGTGATTCGATACTTCTTCTTGCCGACCAGGGCATCCTCCTCCTGCCAAATCCACGGAGATGTCTGGATGCGGTCCTCCCCGAACCTCCTTTTCCTTCGCATCCCGGAGCTCTGAGTCCCCGAATCTCAGACTTGCCTTGCTGAGCTAATGGGCTGCTTGGCAGCGCGGAAGCACAGAATTCTGCCATCCCTCGACTCTGTCGAGAATGGCTCGTGCCCGCTCTGGCCTCTCTGGCCTAGGCGTTATCGGAACGAACCCCCCTTGAAGGGGGATCTTCCTGTGATGGCCTCACATGGCCTCACATGGTGTCATGGCATCGCATCGGCCCCCAGGCCCTGCTTCCAAGCAGCTCATGACCTCTGAGAGCGAACAACGGAGAACAAAGAATAACCCTTGCTCAACAGCATGAGCGCCAACTTTGCAAGAGGCCTCTTCGGCTGTCGGCCTCGCAGACGGCTCCTCCGAATTCACACTTTTCACGTGGCAGGGCCTTCTGCCTCTCATGCAACGCCTTCTTCAGGCACTGGTCCATGATCTCCACCTTGCGTGCGTTCGCCGCTCCAGGGGAGAATTCCGCTCTCCCTCTTCTGGGGATCTCGCCACGTGCTTCGCACGGGACTCTGCTGCAGCTCGGTCCGACAAGGTCGGCCCCTCCCCCGCGACCAAGGCCTCGACACCCGAGGCAAAGCTACGCCGTCTCCTGAAGCCAGAAAAGTGGCGCTGAGGCCACGACTGCTTCCAGCTGCGGCAAGGTCAGGTCCTGTGCAGCGGCGCTACAATGACAGATCGTATGCCCCGTGACTTCGGAGCCAAAGCGAACCTCACCGTACGGCAGGCCCAACTCCAGCATCTCGAAGACCACGCAGCCCAGCGCCCAAATATCCGCAGCTGGGCCGTAGTCTTCACCTTCTGCCCAGAAGCACGAGCGCGACGCAACAGAGCAGCCTGCACCAATCGAGGGGGCCTGTCTGCGCTGCCACCTCTGGCGCCATGAAATGCGGCGTCTGCACCTCAGGCGAAGCAGCGAAGCAGAGTGCTGCCGCACTGCCACGGAGTTGTCCGAGAGGAGCTCCGAGGGACCGAGGGCCAGACAGGGGTCTGGGCCCGGCTGGAGGCCTCTCAAAGCGAACGCGCCCAGACAACGAGAGCCGGCATGGAGGCTCCCTCTTAGACGCGGAGCAGTCACATCTGCTGTGGAAGCAGCGGCAACAACGACGAAGAAGAAGAAGCTTTGACATCCTCATGTTCATCCTCGCGGTCGTTGTCGTCGTCGGCCTCCGCATCGTCGTCGTCCCCATCTTCATGATCAGCATCTCGCTCCTCCCCGTCGTCCACCATCAACCCACGGTCCAGCAAGATATCAACAACTGGCAGCTGCTTAGCATCGACACAACTGCCACAACTACGAAGACGAAAAGCAGGACCAACCTCGATCTTAACCATCTCCCTCACCACCAAGAGTCTAAGGGCCCGCTTTCTGAGTGCCGACATGCCCAGTCTTGCTGCTTGACGCGTTGCTTCAAGCAGGAAGGCTCGGGCTTGGGAGCGTCGCGGCGACTCGCGTAAAATACAACTAGTCGGCACCGTCTTCGTCTTGGCTTTAGCAAAGCCCTACGTCAAGTCGGCCATGTACTGCTGGTCTACAAGGGTCCCAATGGGCAGAGGGAAACTGCAACATACAGTACACATGCTTGCACATGCTTGCACACCTTTGCAGTGCAAACGCAATCACATGTTTCTCCCGGGCGCGAAACCGGAGCCTTCGCGGCATCGAAATCGCCAATCTTCGCTGCCATGGAGCACAAGTCTAGCACCTGCAGCTCGCAGACCGGATCCCTTTGGAGGAGGTGGAGGATGGGAGTCACACTCCCTAAAACATCGATCTAGACAAGCCTGAAAGCTCACAGGAACTTCACAAGAGTGGCCTCTGCCGCAGCTTCGGCTGGTGAACACCTCTGCTTGGGCACTCTGCTGGAAAGCATTGATGCATGCGTGTTTGTCCTTGTCCGTCTGCACAATGTATGCATGAATGCATGCATGTATGTGTGTGTGTGTGTATGTATCATATCATATCACGTCATATCATACCATACCATACCATATCATATCACATATGTCCGTGTGAACATGTGGGCACAAATACATGCAGGCATACTCTCACACTAAGCCTGCGATAGGCGAGGAACTCTGGAGAAGCAACGGAGGCTATGATCAGATGAACTGAGACAGGACCAGATAAGACAGAAACCACGATCTACATAACAGACTGTGCTGTCAACAGAACATAGTTTGTTGCCGATGTTTATCTGATGCATGCTGCCGTGTGAAGACGAAGAAATTTGATGCGTGACATGCATGTGAATTACGCATTCATCTGATCTGCCTCTGCCATGTACTGATACTGTACCAACAGGCTGGCATAGACGACCCATGTACATGTAGAAAATACTTGAAGCACAAGATGCACGAGAACAGAAAAAGGTTTTGCTCGGTCCAATGTGGAGCCAAGGTTTCTGGCACTTTGGCTGTGTGGTTGGAAGCCGGGAAACTCTCATCTTGACACATGCGGCAATGGCCAGCCCCCTGCAACATACTTGGCTGCGCAGTCTTGCTGTAGCGACTGGAGCTGTCTCTGCGCCCGAGGGACAGCCAGATGTTGGCGGATTTCCTCAGGTCTGGGCGATTCAAAAATGAGCCCCAACGCACCATCTGCGTAGTTGAAAATGCACCAACACAAAAGCGCGAAACGCGAAACGAGCTCTCTCGAGTCTCCTCCCCAAGCGTCAGATCGCGATGCAACACCCGGTGACGGTGACAGTGCGCCAGCCCGGCGGCCACCTGCTAGGAGTTTTGTCTTGAGCCAAGTAAGGCTGTTGTGTTTCGAGGTTTTACAATGAAACAAAGGCATTCCGTTACAACTCTGGCCCGGCAAGCCCTGGTTCGGCCACTGCCGCGCCTGCTTCAGCACGTGCAGGAGCTCCGCTGCCAGAAAGGGCTGCTGCCTCGATCGGCCGCTTTGGATCCGTGAACATTGAAAAAGAGCTGAAACTGCTGGTGGGCCGCTACTCTCACCTGTCTTGGGCAGTCTTTTTCTGAGCTTCCGGCTGCTCACGACGGGACCGTATCACTGACTCTAGCGATGAGCTGCAGAGCTCCAGGAGCATCACGTACGCCTCCCAAATGCCATCAAGGATCAAAACAATGTGTTCCATGCGGCTGTCAGGCACCCCAAAGCCCGGGCCTTGTGCTGGACACCGCTGTCCATGTAGCGCTCGGTGCTCCAAGCACCATGAAAGGCCACAATCGAATCATGCCTCAGGTTCAGAATTTAGGGAAGGCTGTAGGCTGTCGAAGCAGCCAGCTATGTCCTGCCAATGCAAAAGGGCGGCGAGGCTTTTTTGAGCAGCAGCAACATCACAGCACCTCACTGTCCTCTGAAAGGAAACGAAGAGATGAAGACCGCGAGGCCCAGTAGGCATCCATTTGAGCTGCACTTAGGTCTGTTCGGAACCGCGGATTTGCCAGACCTTACCCCAAGCAGCCGAGCCACGCCGGCAGTGATTTCATCATCTCCATTTCCTTGCCGAAGTCCTCACAAAGGCTTCAACACAAAACATGTAACCCGACGCCAAAGCCTGTGGGTGGGCTTACCGTCATCAAACCCCAAAAATCCGCAGCACATCCACGCATCCGATGATTTGTTTTACAATGCATTTATCTGGTGTATACCGCTCTCCTCCCTTCCCGAACTGCATAGACATAATAATGGATATATAGTGGATACAGTACGGCTATACGAGGACCCAGCTTGCAGTAACGTATCTCTCTTCTGCTTGCTTGACGTCGCGTCGCTGCGATGTCATGTTGATGAGACAGCCGATAAGGCTACAGCTTGCACACAGCATGCGAAAAAATAGTGAACCTATCATATGTCTGTTTTTGCCATACCCAATCTGACCCAATCTCTTCAGTGCGCTACTGCTCTTGTGTCATGGACACCGTTTCTGGGCGTGGGCATGTGTGGGGGTACTCGTGCCGACAAGACAGAGGTTCCGGGCGCCTGACCGCTGTCAAAGGGACCTTCCTTTGCCTAGTGGCCTTTGCCCCGCATCGTGGCCTGTGCAAGCTATCTCTTGGCGTGGCTGCTGTATCCGTGCGGCACCTGTTCTTTCTCCGCTGCATCATTCCTGCATGGATCCATGAAAGCGTTGCTCGGCAAGGACTCCGTCGTTGTCTTCTTTTTCTTGTTGTTGTTGTCGGGATAGAAGAAGCTAGCTTGCTTGCTTTTCTGTTCCTGTCGCATCGCAAGAGTTCCGTTCTCCTTGCTCGTATCTTGCTGATCCGGCAAACGCGAGCTCTAACCCTCGGTCCTCCACCATGTCGGGAAAAGTCGCCTTTCCCAACGGTAGCACCTCTCGAACCACTCAGTGCCAAGAATTCGAAGCATAGAGGGCCTTACTACGTCTTCTCGGCTTGAGCTCACTGTTAGGAGAATGCCCTACAAGAAGATCACGTGACTGCAGGGTGCGCTGCTAAAGTAGACCCCTCAACGCGCAAGCCGTCCTTCTCCCCGCCTTGCCCGCCAAGGAGGGCACCTGGGACAACAACTCATGTACCGCGGGCCAAGTGTACAGTGGGTACAGCGCATGGAGCAAGTCACTTGAGTCTTCAGCAAAATCCTACACCTGCGACTTGCAAGCGCCCTGCTGGGCGCATCCGGAGCCTTCCCTCTAGGGCCAAGATACGGGGATCTGTGTGGATTGACATCGATGCACTCTGCATCCGCTGACTCCTGAAAAGCATCCGACAGGAGCATGGGAAACTAATTCCGGGAGTTCGAGTATGACCGAGAAGAGCAAGACGAGACGTGACCCAGAATTCAGTCCTCAAGCCCCTGGAACATCCCTGAACCTCATGCTCCGACTCCGCAGGACAGTCTCCGAAGCATGGGGCACCAATTGTCCTCGGCCGAGCAGCTCGAAAATGGAGAGGTGCCCGTCGCCACCTGAAGCCGAAGCCACCGGAGTGTCGTGTTGGTCGTAGATGAATGAAGCTGACAGCCCAGAGAGAGCGGAAGTGAGGACTTGGTCATCGAAAGCGCAGAATGTGGGAGCTTGCCGAGGCTCTTGCTCTCCAAGTTCAGGTCCGGAAACCCCGATGCATCGTAAACCTGAGACCGACCCGGCTCGGGGTTGGGGACCACGTCCACAGAGCGAAGGATCGCTTGCAGCCCAAGAAAGAGGGAGAAGACGACGAAAAATGCCCGGTAGAAGCCCTTCGCTGCCCGCATTCCCGGGTGCCTCGGGCACGCCCGGCAGGCAACCATCCACCTCCGGCGAGTTCAAAAAGTGAACGTCCCTCCCACCACGAACTTCAAAGTCCGCCCAAGCCCGAGGCCTCGCCTCGCCCTCGGCGAAAGCTTCGGAGGCCTTGGGCTGACAAAGCATCAAGTGCCACAACGCGAAATCCCCAAACCCCGTACTGAACCCCTAAACCCTAAATCACACGAAACCCCTAAACCCCCAAACCCCCAAACCCCTAAACCCCTAAAATCCCTAAAACCGCAAACCCAATAGAGTCGAAACGGAACCCGTCTAGAAAAGAGGGGCCTTGGCCCTCGGCGCCTCGGAGTCCGGCTCTTCAGCCTCCCGGCTCCGCTACGAGTAGCGCCAGGATGCTCGGGTTCTTTCAGGTTCTTTCGGGTTCTTTCGGAGATCTTCGCCAAGATAACCCTTAAACTTAAACTGTAGAGTCTCTATAGGGTCGGAGGTGGTGGGATTCTGCCTTCATGGGTCAACGCCACATGGGAGGCTTGGGAGGGCAGTCAGGGCTCTAGCAGCTTCGAGTTCTCGGCTTAGGCCACCGAAGCCTTGGAGGGTCTTGCACATAGTGCCACAGCATCTTCCGGAATCTTGCACAATACTGTGTCAGCGTATGGTATCGCACAACACTGCGTCCAACTGCACAGCCAAACCGTACAGTCCTGTACAGAGCTATATATACAACACGTGTGAACTGCAATGGTATGATTCTCTGCAAGCGTGCTTGATGTCGAGTCGGATCCTAGAATTCAGCATTCAATACTGCAGAACATGATGCAGCAGAGGCTCAGTCTTCGAACACAGCACTAATTAGACACAAGCCATCGCACGAACTTACTTGTCATGCAGCGAGACGATATACTTCTGCATTCCTGTCTCTGGCCTTTGTCGCGACCGGCTCATCGACGATCTTCTTCTTGGCCTCACGAAAGGGAGCTTAGCCTGATGACCTGACAATCTCGTGATTTACGAACGCATGTCAGGAGGCTCAGCTGCCCCACGTTGCCCACACCTACAGACCCAAGCGGAGAACTTCTTTTTCAAAAGGTTCCGCCGCGCTTGACCGGAAGACTACCGGCGCGCTCATCTCGACCTCGTGACCTTGACCACAACGCTGAGGGGCTGCTTGTGGGCAGCAAGAAGTTCGAAGCTTCAAGGGCTGGAAACGAGCTCCTGACGCGTCGGCAGCTCGGTCTCTTATGCCTCACAGGGACAAACAAGAACCCTATGGCCCTGACGACAGCTTGAAAGAAGGCCGACCAAAGCACATGAGCATGAGCGGAGACACCTTTGTTCCATGCTTGCGGAGACGTTAGCTGGGCGACCTCATGGCAATGCCTGCTTCGGCATGGAGATCCTGATGTTGGCCCAACGGATGTTGCCGCGGTAGCGCGAGGGCGCGAAGAAGCCCCAACCGCCACCACCCTTGTTGGGTTCGAAAGACTGACTGGAGGACCGACAGCAACAGTCTCGTGCAAAGCCAGCAGCCGAATCATCGTAGTTGCAACGAGCCCACTTGGAGTTCCCAGAGATTGCATCGTTGACATCTGAGTACAACTCGAACTGCTCATTGATCTTGTTGTTTGCAGACCTCCAGTTGTAGATGTAGCCGTGTGCATCGAAATCATCTCGCTCTTGAACTTGCTTGTACACAGACCACTCGTGGAAGGTGCTGCCATCGTTGCTCACCTCCATTAGCCACACGCCGCCGTTCGTCTTGAACAGGTCATTGACGCAATTCTTCGTGGCATCAAAGGTGACTCCGTTGTTGGCCGCGGTTCCCTTGTCCCAATCGATGATCTTCACAAATTCTGTGTTCTGTGAGCCGAATGACAGGGTGTCAAGAGCTTCGCATGAGGCTGGAAGCGGCTTGTTCCTGCATCGTGTGGCAGCCAAACAATTGAATTCAGTTGCGCTCCTGCTCTCCACAGAACACTGCATATACGTCGACTGGCTGGCATCAGTGTCAAAGCTCTCCTCGCACTTCTTCTGTGCATCTGCTCCGATTTCTCCGCTCAACGTGTCACACTGCCAGTGGTCATTGCCCACAGCCTTGGCCAAGAGATTGCCCGTGCAAACGGGGAGATCATCGTCGGTCTGAAGCGAGAAATTGCCTTTGTCGGAATGGAACTTTCGGCCGACTACACAAGTGAGGCACGCCAGTAGCACCGCACAATGCGCAGAAGTCTTCATTGCTTGGGGCATCTTGTGGCCACGAAACCCAGACAATTCGCGATCTGGGATCAGCCGATAAGCTTGCAGCAGGGTTGACATGTATGAACCGTGCTTCAAATCCAAGCGTAACACCACTTCTGCCGAACTCAGCCTGGGTCGTGCAAATCAACTCGAGCTCGGAGTCCTTTCCTGCGAGCAGTGGGAAAAGCGTGCAGTCGGGATCCAAACGGCACCCAAAGTCAGTTCACGTCTTCGATTCCGTCCTTCCAGGCCGGTTCCTCAAAGGCCCAAGGGACCGTGGTTCCTCAGACAGCACGTGAAAAGCTTCTTGCGAGTCTGCTGCACGAGCTGCAAAAGCACGAAAGCAGCGCCTGCCGGTGGCGAGCACCTGAATCTTGAGATCTTGAACAGCGAACAGCGAAAACGAAGACACGTGTAAGGGAGCCACGGACACGGAGCCAGCGACTGTGGGGGCAAATGAACCCCCGCCCCCTTTTCAACGTCCTTTGAGCCGACTCGGGGGGGCCGGCGAGCACACGCTCTGCTCTGACTCCGGGCGTCGGGCGGCCAAGCAGCAGCAGAGACGGCCAAGCATGGCCCGGCGAACGTCCGGAGTGCTAGAAGCGAAGCTCTGAGCTGCGCGAAGGGTGGAGCTGGACTTCGGACTGGGATTGGGATTTACGCTTTGGGCCGTTCATGAGCATCCTGGGCCTGCTGAGAGCCAGGACGAGCAGTTGTTAATGCGATCTCTGCAGAATTATGCACCGCTCCTGCGGCCCGAACGGTCTTCACAACTACCTGCAGTGGTCACAGCAAGTCTCCTGCTTCTCGGCGTCATCCTCTTTGTCCGCCTTCCCGAGATTATGCGCGGGTTATATTATATAGGCTTGTCAGCTGCGCACACTCGGTACGGCCGCCCCTCGCCGCCACTGCCAATCTCCTACTTCAAGACACTGACCCGTGGGTGCGCACTAGTCGTTCCTCAGTGGTCATCTGTTGTGTTTGGATGGCCGGGGCACCAGCAAGGCATGGAGGAGGAGCCGAGTGTTGCTAGCTGCTAGCTGCAACGCATGTAGTGTCGTAGTCTTAAATTGGATTACTATCCCACATGCAGCGGAGCAAAGAGAGGACCTGGCACACGAGGACGGCCCCCGGCCTTCATATTTGAGGCTGGGATGGCGAGGAGCACGCGGCGGACGTAGTCCTCTCAAGAGGCACTGGCTCACGGAGTGCGGGGAATTGAGCGTTACGAGTCAAGTTCTCTGGAATTGAGGCCTGTTTGGGGTTTTGCGATGGATTTCTGTAGTAATCTTCAAAAGCAGCAAACACGTGCCGGAGCTTTTAGCATTCCGAGTCCCTGAATGCCCTGCCCTCGCCTCGAATCCGAGGTCCACCATCTTGTCCGCCTTGGACGCAGGGATTACTGGGAAGACACTGCAAAGCTTGGCAGGAGTTTCCACCACTTCTGGCCTCATCGATAACCACATAAGTACACTGGTTGAGCACCGTATGCCTCAAGACACTGCTTGAACCGAAATCTACTTCTAGTGGAACTTACGACTCACAGCGAAGAACGACGCAGCGCCTCTTGTCGAGCGAGTCGCAAAGGCGACCGGGCGTGGCCTCGGCAAAGCTCGGAGCCAGCCCCTGCCCAAAGTCTTCCGTTTACAGTTTACAGAACCTTCTCTGAGGCGTCAACCATGCAAACTTCCACGCCCTGCCGCAGAGTGAAGGCCTGCGATCTCGTGCCCTTTGTTTTCGAAACAGCTGTGAATATGCACAGCACAATGTCCAGCCTGCTGCTCAGCATCTCTGCCACCCACAACACTAACCATCCGGCAATCGCAAAAAGCAGCGAACTTCCGGGCCTGTTGCAAGGAAGTGAACACAGGCGCTGTGGCACAGGCGATAAAGCTGCATCAAGGCCGGATTTGCCCTGTGCCTCTTCCTCGATCTGGATCACCAGCTCGCGGCTAGGCGCCAGCACGATGCCGTAAGGCCCATCCTGCAGTTTCTTCCATTAAGCCGGGATGGAGATGGAGCATGAAGTCCTGTGCGCTCGTATCATCCAGCTTCGGGAGCTTCTTGACATAGGACCTCGTGACTTTCAGCGTTGCTGAGTCTTCTTGACTACCCATTCGGAACGAGAGCCATGTGGACCCGGACAGCATCGGAAGAACATAGGCTGCCGTCTTGCCACTGCCGGTCCTCATGGTTCACCGCTTGCACAAGGAAGTTCCAGCACGACAACAGATGCGCTGGGCAACCGACTCCGCAACCGCGATGAGATCGCGGCACTGGCAAGCAATCGGAATCGCCTGGCTGTTTTTGGAGCAACAAAAGTAGTAGCCGCCAACTGCAGACGGAGCGTACATCCAATCAATAAGCTTACAAAAATGACATGACTAGAAGACAATTGGCCCGAAAGCATCATTAGCGAACAGTTTTGCGCTACGTCATAGAATCCAGTGCATAGAATCATGGAGTCAGAGAGTGAAGTGCATATAGTCATCAAGTACATAATAATGCCGAGATCGATGTGCGTGACTTTATGTATTTCACTCTATGTACTTCACTCTGCGTACTTCACTCCATGTTGTCAGAGCTCTCGAATCAGTGCATAAACTCAAGTACATGAAGTCAACTGCATACAGTGAAGTGCATAGAGTCAAGTGCATAGTCCAGCGCATAGAGTCAAGTACATAGAGTCAAATAGCCAATGCACAGATGCATAGAGTCCCCCAGGTTGGATCCAAAATCGATTCTTGTATACAAACTTTAGTAGTGTGTTAAAGAACGGGCTTCACTAAGCTTTCCTACCCACTGTCAAAGGCGGACACTTTTCCTGTCAGCGGAGTGTGTCCTGGTAGTCTCGAGCCTGTACGTCGCGGTGCGTGTACCGGCTGTTCCTATGCATTAGCACTGTAGTTCCTGCAGGTGTACTGTCACAGGTGGAATGTTTAACACCCCGCCTTCGAAGTTAGTGCCGGTAAGTTCCTTACCAAACTGGCTTCGACACTTTCCTTGACTATACAAGACAGTACCTGCACGACTCTTCTTTTCTCTACTCAAAACAACTGCTGTTCCTGTTCGCAAACGTTGCCGTTCACTCGCAATCCTCTCCAAGGTTGCTAGACTGTACAAAAGTTCCTGAAGACTTACTTAGATCACCACAGAGACAAAAAGGGCTGTGCCACGGTTCCTGTGTCCTGCTTCACTGCTCTCTCCTCGGCTCTCTGGCCTCAGAACTGCTCGCTGTTCCTTTGCTTCACTGGAAGTTCACTGGCTTGTCGTCTTCGTCTTCGCTGTCCTTGCTGACTTCCTTCAGCTAGAGCAGAGCTGGTCCTTGAGCCACTCTGCAAGCTGCTTTGCCTGCGCTTTGCACTTCTCTTTTCCTTGCTTGTCTTTTGATCCTGCTTTCCATCCAGTTTCCTTGGATCCTGAATACCAGTACCACTGTGCCTTCTCTTCGTTCCACTTCCACTGGTAGTTGTTTCCTTGGAAACCGTAGACTGCAAACCAGTTTCCTTCAAACTCTCCGCGTCCTCTTCCTTTCAAGTAAGAGGCTTCGTTCACTGGTCCTTTGGCTGAAAGCTCTGGGTCCTTCTTTCCTTGCTGTGCTACCTTTGGTGGCTCCTGTCCTTTTCCTTTTCCTTTGTCCTCTGGCTTTTCCTGCTCCTTTGCTGGTGTTGTGTCTGGCTCTGTGGGTGCCTGCGACCCGGCTGCCGATCCTCTGCTCTCAAGCTCCTGTGTAAGGCTTGCGATCCTTTCCTTATCCTCTTTCCTTTCTTTCCTCATGTCCTCCATCATCTGTTCCAGCTTCTTGATCCTGTCTTCTTCACTTCTCGGCTCCACTTCTCCTGATCCTGCTGCCTTTCCTGCTGCTGCTGCCTTCTTCTCTGCTTCCATCCTGGCAATGTATGCCGATGACTCCTTCTGGTCCTGCTCTCTCTTCTTCCTTGCTTCCTTCTCCTTTCTCTTCTTTTCCTGTTCCTTCTTCTCCTTCTCCTCTTTGGCTGCTGCGGCTGCTGCTTCTTCCTCTTCTTTCTGCTTCTTTGCTTTGGCTTCTGCTGCAGCTGTTTCCTCCTTTTCCTTTGTTTCTCTCTCTGCCTTTGCTTTGGCTGCTTCCTCGACTTCTCGCCTTCTCTCGGCGGCTGCGGCTGCTTCTTTCCTTGCTGCTTCTTTGTCTCTCCTTTCTTGCTCTTCTGCTGCTTCCTCTAGTGCCTTCCTTGCTTTGGCCATCTTCTCTTCCATCGCCTTCTTCTCCTCTTCTGCTGCCGCTTTTGCTTGCTGCTGTTCCTTTGAAATCCTGTCTTGTTCTTCCCAGTACTTGCGATCCTCCTCGTCTCGCGGTTCGAATCCCGCGGCTGCTGCTCTCTGCTGTGGCTTTGCTCTTCCTTTGCCTTCCTTCTTTCCTTTTCCTTTGTCTTTTCCTTTCGTTCCTTTCTCGTGCTTGTACGTGTAGTCCTTGTCCACCCAGAACTTTTCTCCTGTGACTCTGTGCTCTCGGTAGATCTCGCCGTTCTCGGAATATTCCTTCCACTCGTTGCTGTAGTCGTAGGGGTACGGAAAGAGTTCCTTTTCCTTCTCCTTCTCCTTGAGTCTTTCCTTGAAGTGGCGTTGATCTCCTTGATCTTTTGCTTCCTTCTTTCCTCTGCTGTTGCTTCGTCCTCTTCTTCCTTTTGTTCCTCTTGTTCCTTTTCTCCATCAGGGTACTCCCCGGGATCTCCTCCAACGTAGCTGTGCACGTAGACCTCGTTCTCGTCGTAGCCGTAGTCCTCGTAGTCCTGCTCTTGTTCCTGAAGGCGGTCAAAGTAGTCTCTGTCTGACCACTCTCTTATGTCTTCCTGTTCCTTTGCTGGCGTGGAGGTAGGTGACGTAGGTCTCGTTGTAGTTCCCAAACCGTGTCCTGTGCGTCGGAGTTCTCCTTCTTCTTCTCGGTCCTGGGCTTCTCTTTTCCTTTGCTCTTCTTCTTGGTCCTCTGTAACAAGGCTCCTGGACCTGTTCCTTGAGCGTGT